CAACCAAATGAACTCGTTAAATAAATGCCACTGCTGACCAATTTCTTTACGTTCTTCCTCCTCAATAAAGACGATATTTTAAAAAAAAAAAGAAAGACAGCATGCTCGTCTTTTCTTTTTTTTTTTTTTAGCATCTTACGATTAAATGACCACGAGGAACGATCCATTCTCAATGAACAGTCTGACATAAAAGGAAAAGTTTCCTTTTCATAAATGAATCTGTTCACCAAAAGAAAAAAAAAATAAGAAAAAAAAATATCGAACACATTCATTTGCCATAGGAATTACGATAAGAAACGTTTCTTTTAAGATCTTTTCCCACCACCGCCATTTCTTCAATTTTCTTTCTTTGGTCTTTAATATTTAATCCCTCCCCGACTAGAAAAAAAAACAACAGGAAAAACATATAAACTTTGCATTGGCTGGAAAAAAAAATATATTTCTGGGAAAAAAAATTAAAAGACCCTACCACATTGATATCTAATTCTTTTTAAAATAAATAATTATTCTTATAATTCGGAATATTTATCGACTTTAAATGGCCAACAACGAATTGATAAGTCGTAAAAAATATTCTTACATCTTGTTCTTCTTCTCTATCGAATCCGATGCAGACCTGACATTTAAAACTGACACTTACAGAGCCATAGTATAGTTTTAGTATAGATTAATAAGATATATCATAATGATACTATAACCCCATCTTAACTTTTTTTTTTTTTTTTTTTTATGTTCTCTTGTGCGTCATCGCAATTAATTTCCCCGGACGGTTATTACTTATGACTTATAAAGGGTGTTTCATTAAGAGGGATTATATATAAGGGTGTTTCATTAAGGCGGATCAAAGTCAGCAATAAATAAATATGTGTTATTGGTGAAAATTTATTTATTTCTCTATTGGATCATGTTATTTAAGTCATGACAATTATGTGTAAAAAATAATATCGCCCAAATGTCCGCCAAGGCGTCGGCGACACACCTCCATTCGATGGTCAAAATTTTTGATGACGTCTCTGCATAGTTGCTCCTCGATCTCACCATTATGCCTTATTATCACATCCTTCAGCTGTTGAATTGTTGTTGGCTTGTTGGCATAGACCTTAATTTTGAGATGACCCCCAAAGGAAGAAATCTAAAGGCGTCAAGTCACATGATCGTGGTGGCCAATTGACTTCACTGTTTCGAGAGATGATGCGACCTGGGATCTTCTCATTGCATTTCAATTTGAAGGTCCATGTTCGTAATAGGCTTCGATAACTTTAACACGTTGTTTGATTGTTTATCTCTCCATGGTTTAAGTTGCCAAAGACTTATGTTGTTAAATTTGAAAGGAAAAGAAAAAAAAATCATTAAACAATTAAACTTAATTCACATTTAAAATCGGTCCAGGTTATTGGAACGCCTTTTATTTATTATATACAAATTTTGACAAATATTTTCCAGTGGCTACACTTGACATTCACTTCATTAGTCGCTTATTGTAATAGGTCCGGCCATAATTTCGAGTTGAAGAAGACAGTTTTAGTTAAAAGAGAATATAATTTAGTAAAGGCGGAAGTGTGTTTAAAGGGCGTAGTAATATCGTAGTGTACACTACGGTAAATTTACATCCTGAATCCTGGGACCTGCCTTTTTTCTTCATAAAATTATTACGGAGACGGTGTAGGATAATTTCTTCTTTTTTTTTAAATTACGATAAATATAAAGATAAAATAACTACAAAATATAAAATATAAAATAAAATAACAAAGTGTGCGAAATGCATTTCTGTTTGAACGCCCATTTTCGTAATAGGCTTCGATAATTTTAACACGTTGTTTGATTGTTAATCATTCTAGGGTTGAAATTGCCAAAGACTTAAGTTGTTAAATCTGAAAGAAAAAGAAAAAAAAATCGTTAGATGCTTAAACTAAATTCCCATTTAAAATCGGACCAAATTATTGGAACATCCTTTAGTAGTGGCTGTCGACTCACAAAGCGAGTATGACCATCACTGACATGTCCAGTCCATCAGTTAAACTCCCCCACCCTCGCAACACTGCATTTATTGGTTGTTTGATCGACAGTGGCTCATAAAGCCAGCTATCGATCTGCAT